GGACATGCACCTGGACCTGCTACCAACACACATGTGCTTCAGGCATATGGAACAACAAACTAGGTGGATAGAGCACATCCAATAATCAAGGCAATGCTGAGAAGCCAGCGGCCCACTGTACAATGCTACAAAACATGCATGTTTTTGTGCACCAGTCGAGGATAAACTCGAGTCTAGTCTGCGGCAAAGGACCCATATATGCAACCACGACACCACTGGTGCTCCCTCAGACAAACCTATTACGGGCACCAGAGAGGCATACCCATATACCTAGGTATATAGAACACGTGATTCTGTGCACATTGTATGTCTGCATGTGTGTAACTCTTGATATAGTTGTGTGCAGTGGTGTTCACTCGGGCAGTTCCCGTGTCTTACAGAGCACCAGTGGTATAGTGGTAGCATAGGTCCTTGCCACGGACCAGACCCGACTTCGATTCTCGGCTGGTGCAGCAGTGACTCGCATGTTTTGAAGCATTCTACGGTGAACCACAGGCATCTCACTGCCTTCATTAGTGCATGCACGCCCCCATGCATGTGCGCGATCCTCCATACCTACTTCGAATTTGTTGTCCCACATGCCCGAAGCGCGTGTGTGCTGGTTGCAGGTCCAAGTGTATGTCCTGGGTATTAGGTGCATTGTTGCATGCCAATAACACCCAGGCAGGAAGGAAGGAATGCTATGGTGTAGTGAACTTTAAAGTGCTCTGTCCTGTGCAAATAGATGCAAAGGCACACGCACACAGCAGGGAGACAAGCAAACAAGTGAGGGACTGCAAATAAAGTGCAATACAGCATATGTGTATGCATGTATATGTGTACATATGTCATCCATCGTCATGCGTGTACACGGCTGGCCACAAACAGGATTACATATGCCAGGTTTTCTTATTAGTGCACTCTGTGAGTGCAGTAGTGCAAGTACAGCTCTCCATCCATCATAACCGACCTTAGCTTGCATTCAAAGGTGCTAGCACCAAATCCATAGCTCCATGATTAAGAGATTTGTAGGGAGCACCATACACTCGTTGGATTAGAATACATGTATCCAGCAGACACACACACACACACACACACACGCACACACACACATAAACACATAAACACATGTGTCTAGGTGCATGTACATGCACAAACATTTGGACATGCACATACCATGTGTATGTGTATGTCGCCGACCTATTGCA